AACTCTCATAACTACCCCCACTTTATTTATTACACCGTATTCAACTCATTTAATATACTACACCCATTTTCATTAATGATGTTTTGGTAAATTTTCACGTTTTTTCGACACTCCTTAAAAATTATAAAAAATCAAAATGAGAATATCTTAGAACAGTGGAAATACGTGCAATGCGCACAGGGGTCAAACACGTTTTTAACGCCCAGGGGCGTAAAACACCGCCCCCCTCGGGCTTCAAAGTGGGTGTCATTTCTTTGGCGTAATAAGTTTGACGCAGCCTCCCTTCCCCCTAACGGCTAAATTAGTCGTTGCAAGCCAAAAATAATATTTTTTTTATAAATTTCAAACTACATCTCCTCTAATTCTCACACCTTTCAATCTCCAATTCTCATCAATCTTTTTCATATCTTCTTCAATTCTTTAATTCTCCACTCTCTTTTCAAGATGAATCCCTCCGACTCCAACTTTTCCCTGACGATCTCGAGCCTAACTAGCACGCCATGTGGATCTTCCAACAATACAGGAGTAATCCGACGATGTTCGAGACACAATCATCGGGGTACGTCTTTGAGCGGGAGTCAGTTCCGGAGACTCAACCGGAACCAACCGGAACCTAACGTAATCGTTCTTGTTTCAATATAATTAAATAATAAAATAATTAAATTTTGTTAATTTTGTTTTAGAAGATGCATATTTAAAAATGTAAAAAATGAAGGTTTGAAGCCCATGTTTGAAGCCTTGAGGCTTCAAACCCATTTCCACTGAATCTGTGAGGTAAGTTAAAGCTAACGTGGTAGAGAGAGAAATTTTGAAGCCTCAATTTGAAGCCCCGGGGCTTCACGGGTATTTCCAGTGCTCTTAGGATGACAGAAGGAGTATGGTATATGCTTATGTAGAGAAGAGAAAGAATATGAACCATAAATTTCATTCTTAAAATGGAATAGGAAATTCTTATTGAGGCGACTAAAAAGGAAATAAGAAAGTCTTTCAAGGACGGGTATATAGTAAAATATGGTTGAACCCAAACCATAAGGTAGTAAAGTCCATTCAGTATATGTTTGGCCAGTTGCTTGTGATGAGATAAATTGAATTACCCCATCTGTCATAAAACACTTTCTCTGTTATTATTCACATGGTCAAACTTTAATCGTTTTTCTTTACTTATTTTTGTTAGTCATTTGATAAAATTATAGTCTTTGTCGCCTCCTGTTTTGCAGAACTTTTAATATAGTTTTTAAATATATAAATTTTATTTTTGAATCTACACCTACAATCAAATAAATTGAATTAAAAATAAAGTCGGCCAAACCTCGTAAACAGGATCATAAAGAACGTTTTAGGACGGAGAGAGTATAATCTACATTTGATCAATAAAAAGTAGGACTTGTCATTTAAAAGAACCACATGCATAATAAGATTATATTAAACTCACATTATAATTAAATACTCCCTCCGTCCCTAAATAAACTTCCATTTTGACTTTTTGAGGATTTAAGGGAGGGATATTTTGGTGTTGACTTTCCAAAAATACCCTTGATGTGATGTGTAAAAGTAAGATGTGATATGTAGATTATTAGTAAAAAGGTATGATGTGATAGGTAGGGTATGAAAAAGTAAGGGGTAAAAGGGGTTTTTTAAGGGAAAAAAAATTTATTTGGGGACAAAGAAAAAACAAAAGAGAGAGTTTATTTAGGGACGGAGGGAGTATTTTTTTGGGAGGATGAAATAAATGTACATGTAGAAAAAGCACCTATTGAAACGATGTAGGGATCAGAGCTTCAGAGAGGGAAAATATGTATCCGCATCATGATTAGCCATGGACTTTTGAGCAAGACAATAAAGCCAAAGGATGCATGGAAGGGACAGATTCAATACAAGATGGGCATTGTGAATCTTCATCATGAGTACTTTGGACTTTAGATGCTCCTTAGCAAGAGATGAATCTGACCTTAGAGCCGGGGACGGGTAGCTTACATCTTCATATTATCTTTTTTTAAATTTAAAATACCATAATTACTATTAGTTGTTCTATTTATTACACATCACCCACCTTGCTTAGTATACTTCATCGATTTTCATCAAGAGTGTTTTGATCATTGGCGGATCCATAGCTATGGTGTGGGGGGCATATGCCCCCCGTGAAATTTCATTAAGCACAAACAAAGTGTTCTAATTTTTGAAAAAAAATAAAAATGCTTGGGTTGATTTTTGGTTGTTCCCCCGACCAATTTATAATGCCCCCAACAATTTTTTAAAAAAATATCTTGTTCAATATTTAAGAATAAGCTCAAACTTTGAGTATTTCTATATGTCCTTATTATCTTTATACTTCAATTAATTTAGTCATTATGTATTATGTATAGTTTTTATGATATGTTTATGAATTTATTAGTTTATGCGAAATTGTTGGTTTTATAGTGTATGACATCTTCATTTAATATAATATTTCAACTTTAGAAAAACAAGAGATTTAAAAAAAATGTAATTTTAGTGTTATTCTTCAATTTTATATATTTATTTTATACCCCGTAATAGAGTAGCATCCCATAGAATATGATGCAGTGTTCTTCAATTTTTGATGCAGTGTTCTTCAATTTTTGGATAATATGACTTTTTCATTTAATTGCTCCATATTTGAATGGTTATTTGAGATTAAATGAAATACTCCATACTTTTTTTTTATTTACATCGCATTTAAAATAAAAATCGAATGTCCTGCATTTTGTACCCCCAAATGTTTCTGCTAATGTAGCTTGAACGAGTCAAATTAAAAATGCCCCCAGTGAGATTTTTTCCTGAATCCGTTAGTTTTGATAAATTTTCAGTTTATCCAAACTTCTTAAAAACTACAAAAAATTAAAACAAGAACATCTTAAGGGCACGAGATGGTTCCACCAAACTAAGATTACACCATAATTTACCCCATCACTACTATGAACATGTTCTTTTGGATTAGAAAAATTAACTTCTAACTTTTTTCAATTCCTACTAGTTTAATTTTTTCAAAGACGATCCAAAAAATGAATTTATATATGATGAATATACAAAAATATTATATATTCAAATTTATAACATAACATCTCAAACACGGGCAAATTTATGTGATCATTTAGTTGAGTTACTTTTGAACACTTTAATTCTTCTAATATTTTTCAACTTTTTCAAGTATTTTCCAACTCCTTTAATTTCTTCTAACTCCGACCCTTTCAGTTTCTTCCCACATCCAACTCTGAAATTCCAATTTAAAAGAACATGGCATATGTGCAATATCCCGTATTAAGATGGGAATAGGAAGAGCTCAAAAGGATTGATAGTACAGTGCATCTTCTTTTTTAGAGCTCATCACCTAGAAACTCTAAAGTTAAGCGTGCTTGACCTGGAGCAATTTTAGGATGGGTGACCCCTTGGGAAATTTCTTGGGCTCGCACGAATGAGGATAAAGTGCGCGAGAAAGACTTGTGATGATTTGTGGGCCTAGTCTACAATTTTATGAGCGGATGTTTACGGTCAGGGTGGGGATCGAGGTGTTACAAATGGTATCCAAGCAACCCTGCGACTGTGACATGCCAAAAGAGCTTAGTTCACCTAGCGAAAAAGATCTACGGGTTTAAAAACGGATGCAAAGAGAACATTGCATTCCTAAGTTGGAGTGAATGTAATACCTTGTATTAAGATGAGAATGGGAAGAGAGCTCAAAAGGATTGATAGTACTACTCGTACTAACAAGGTGCATCTTCTTTTTGAGAGCTCATCACCTAGAAACTCGAAAGTTAAGCGTGCTTGACCTAGAGCAATTTTAGGATTGAGTGACCCCCTGAAAAATTCCTTGGACGCGCACGAGTGAGGACAAAGTTCACGGGAAAGACTTGTGTTGGTTAGTGAGGCCAGTCTTCAATTCTATGAGCGGACGCTTACGGCCAGGGTGGAGGCCAGGGTGTTACACTATGTCGAGCCGGAGTGTGGGGAATGGGGACGTCCGAGATGGAGATTCATGATACATTTAATTTGATAATAATTGATCTTAGTAAATAATGAAGGATATATACATCCTTACATATAGGGATTACAAGAGAGAATTCTAACATAATGATGTGTTTGGTGGAAGGAAAATATTTTCTAGGAAAATTTTGATTCCATTTTCTTCTGTTTGGTGACACTAGTGGAAGGAAAATATTTCCTTCAATGGGGGGGGACAATTTTCGTTAAAAATCAAAAGAAAATTTTCATTCTCTTTTGCTCCATCCCCCACACACACACCCAACCTCCGTCGACCCCATACTACTTTTTTGACTTTCCAGTTTTAAATTTTGAAATTTAAAGTTTAAAATTTTAAAATCAATATTTTCCTATGTTTGGTGACATCTCTATATATAGGGATTACAAGAGAGAATTTTAAGCTAAGTATGAGAAGAATTATAATAACAATAATTAGAAAGTAATGAAATAAGGAAGGTAATAAATAATAACATTCTATTTCTTAATACATCTATTATTTCTAGTATCTCACGCAAGCTGATCATCAGTAATGAGGAGCAGCTTGGAGCACATGTAGTGGAATTAAGCCACCGAAAGCAGTTTTATGAGGATAACCTCTACAAAAGTATAAGTAGAGAGACATGTCTTTGTTACATGACGAACGAGTTTGAGATTACATTTGCTGAGTTTTTTCTAGTAGGAGTATTGACGATTGGAGCGAGGGCGAGATGTTTATTTTCATCTCCTTTTGGCCCGGGTTCTCTATCGTTGTTGATGTTCTCGATTTCTTGAAAATATACAAACAAATGCAACTTTCTCTCTCTTCGATCACGTACATGATTATTTTTAGAAAAGAGATACATAATGGTTTTTTTGGAGAGAGAGAGAGAGGGAGAGATAATGGAAGGTGGCTGTTATGCACACTTGTCGAGATCGGTCGCTGACACCATGCTATTGAATGGTCGACCACTGTGAACAGAGACCGGCGATGTGCTCGGTCGTAAAAAGGGCTAGATTTTTAGAACCTTAGCTCCGATACCATGATACAAGTTGAAAAGAATTAGGGGCTGTTTGTTTCAGCCTCTTAATGGTTCAGATGTCTGAATGGTTCAGCACTTAATGATTCAGATTGTTTGTTTCAGCCTCTTAATGGTTCAGATGTCTGAATGGTTAAGAGATTTGCCTCTGAATGGTTAAGTATTATACAGAGTCTGAATGGTTAAGACCTCTTATCTGAATTGATCAGACATTTGCCTCTGAATAGTTAAGCAATATACTAGCTCTTAATGGTTCAGACCTCTTACTGGTTCAGCACTTAATGGTTCAGACCTCTTACTGGTTCAGCACTTACCTATTCAGAAGTTGCCAAACAGCCCCTTAGTCTTATTGAATAATGAATGATACATTCTTATACATAGAGATTACAAGAGAGAATTCTAACTTAAGTAGGAGAAGAATTATTGTAATAATACAACAAAGAAGAAATGTAATAAGTGTTAAATATGGCAGATATATTTACTCATATTATATAGAATATTTGTTCCCTTGTTTACCTAGACTTTACCTCCTCCTTTGTATGTATAAATACCACGACATATGATGAATAAAATACTCAGTTTACAACACGTTATCAGCACAAGACCCAAACCCTAATTTTTTGTTTGCCTCTCCCGTTACATTTCACCATTCTCCGTTGTGCATGGCAGAACCATCGCGATATTCCCAAACCAACAACCTGCCCTTGACCCCCATAAGAAGTTCCTACAAATAATTTTTTGCATCACCTTGCTTGGAATGATAAAAAAGCTAGCCTACACCAGAAAGAGATCATACAAAAAAGATCGTGTTAGTATATATTCATTGTTAGTCGGTTTAGACGTTGTGCCCACGCCTTAGAGGGGGGGTGAATAAGGCGTTTGAAAACTTTTCGGAGTTTGATAAAAACGGTGTTGGCAAATGCGGAAGCAATAACTAAAACGCAGAAATAAAAGCGTAAATAAAATGCACACCGATTTTATACTGGTTCGGGAAACCCCTACTCCAGTACCTCGAGGCTCCTCCTCGAGAATTTCCGAATCCACTAAGTCTCGGCCTCTTGAACTCCGTCCAAGCACCACACTAGTTTTGGCAAACAACCCTTGCCAATAGGATTCACTCCGAGATTTCACAACGGCTATCTCAAACCGTTTACAATGAAGATTTAACGGCTATCTTCTACCGTTCCCCCAAGGATTTCAAAGGCTATCCTTGAACCTTTACCCAAGGATTTATACAGCTATCCTTGACCGTTACAACGTGAGAATTTAACGGCTATTCTTGACCGTAAGAAGGTGTGTTTGAAGAACAAAAAAGTAGATTCTACACAACGGTTATTATATTAAAATAAATAACAAAACTTAGCCAGTGTAGAAGGAAATTATACTCTCTCAAAAATACAATTCAAACTTATGAATATGAGAGTATATAACTAGAAACACAAGCTCAAAGTGTGTGTATAAAAATCAGGAATTTAAGGCTCTTAAAATAGCCAAAATATTGAAAATGATTAATAAAATGATGAACACACTTAGAATAATAAGAGAGGATGTTTAGAGCTTTGTTTCTTGAAGAAATACGAAGGATTAGGCTTGTATTTATAGTGGAAGATATTAATTAGCCGTTGGGAGGTGATTAGGGTTGATTTAATTCAAAATTGCAAATCAGGAACAGTAACCCAACGGATCCGGTACCCTTCACGGTAGGGGGGTCCGTACCTTCCGGTACCTAGGTACCGTGATACGGTACGGCCTACCGTGTGGGGGTACCGTATAGGCCAAAACTTCAGTTGCTCTCTGGCGGTACCTGGTTAGGACGGGGTACCCAACCGTTTCAGCCTACCGTACGGTACATGGGTACCGTTACACGGTATGCGGGTACCGTGTAGGCGGTATATCCTACCGTCTGGGGTACCGTGCCACTGTCCTGAATTTTCCAAAATTCCCGTAATCCTTCTTGTTTGAGTTTAAAACCTTTTGGATATTTGAAAACGTTTATTGGACGGTTTTAAACATAGTTTGTGAGTGCTTTTGAGCTTGTGAGTATAGGTATATAAAATCATATTCTTACATTGGTTTCTACCTATATTCTACGCTAGTTTGGTGTTTCGACTTCATTCTTGAGTACCGAATCTTAATGGATTCTTGTTGTACCTGAAACACTTAAACAAACGTCAAGCTCTTATATTGTTTGTTAACATCAAAACATGAGGCTTAGCAAACCAAGGCTAACATTCATCATATGCAAATATTTTATTTAAATCGTTGTTTGAAGAAATTAGAAAAAGTAAGAAAAAATTGAAAATTAATTTATCCAACACAAAAGAATAAGGTATTAATGTTTATTCTCTTGAACTTATTCTTTTTTCATATTATTTATTTGTATTGAAATTAAATCGGATAAAAAACAACTTTATAAATAACTACAATCAGATCAGAACTTAATCTAATGAGACCAGAAACAATCAAATAAGTTGAAGAGTATAGGTCTTTAGTTTAGATTTTAGAAGCAGGGCTTTGAAATGTTCGGACAAAAATGAAAGAAAAACGCAAGTCTTCCGTTAGAAAATTTTCTTTCACGTTAGACAAAAATGAGATCTTCATGTCACTATAGTGCAAAAGATCTCTTACAACTCCAAACGTATTTTTACAACTAAAAAGTCGTCACAAGATTTTCTCTTTAAAAAAAAAACCATACAAGAAGAAAAAGTAACTTTAATTTATCGTATCCAATTATCCATTGCCTACTGCACCTTTTCATAACCTTTTTTTGAATCCTATTGACTCTATTATAATGTAGTATCTGTTCATACTATTCTCAAGCTAATGACGCACAAAGAACCAATGTTGTTGCCTTCGCTGGGGCTCAAACCTGGATGAACTTTCCCATGAATCCTGGAGAGTGGACTTGCTACCACTCAAGCCAGGGGAGAAGTTCACCAAAATGTAATCTTTGTGCATTTTATTGGTCACATTTATAATTCCGCGTTTAAAATTTTGAAAAGCATCAATAATTGATGCCCCTCACCCGTGCGTAGTGCGTGCTAAAGGTATATTCCTCCTACCGTACTCCTTGGCGGAGGGTTCAGGGATAGCGCACCCAAGGGGCGGCAGCCCCGGAGGGATTCAAGGGGCAGAGCTCTTGGATGTGATAATTTAGCTCGATTTTTTTATTTTGGATAAAGTATTATGTTAAAAATTCATTTAAATTTTGATTCTCGAATTTTCCTTAAAGAAAAACATTTGGAAAAAACATACCTGTTTTTCTCAAATCCGTGCAAAGGGACACGTGTTTTGGACGAGAGACACGACTGCAACCTTCTTCCCTTCTGCAGCTCGATAAATTTTGTTGTTCCTTGGTCGCAAAAAATACAATTTGAAAATCCACATCAATCCATACTTGTTCTTGAAAAATTTGAGTTTTATTCGATTCATTTTTGAATTGAACAATCAAAATGCACGACTGTCAAATCGATCCGCATTATCTTCGTTTATCCCCAAAACTCCTTGTTCCTTTGGATTCTTAGGATGCACGGCATAGGAGAGGGTAAAACTTAAAAGTATTTGGTATCAAAATAAGTCTAAGTGTCAAAAAGATATAGAGAGTAACAATTTTAGTACCAGAAATCAACCGTAAGAGAGTAAACATTTGCCAACCATGCTCTTATTTTCTTTAATGGTAATATTACCAAGTAATAAATTAGGTATGCCACAAAAAAGTGCTTAAAATTGATAATTACATACTCGTAACATGTTTATATATAATAAAACCATCCTAAATATGAGTAAAAAACATAGATCAAGTACCAAAATAGAAATTCTATGTTTTTATTCTTTAAATATGAGTTTGCACTGCAGTAATGTGACACTATACATGTGCATCTTATTATACTTTTTTGTTATGTACATGGTCACGATCGGTCAAGTAAATGCATTTTAACTCTTATTTCAGGAATAAAAACATAAAACTCCTATTTTGATATATTTTTAATGTTTTGCTCCTACTTTAGTCCTTTTCTCTATATATAAACACACAAACACAATCTCGGGTCTCATATTATCTAAAATATACTCCATGGATCTTTAAAATTTATGGTGATGTACTCTGAGATCAACTACATTCTGTCTATTTGGTCGTTATGATTGAAAGTCATATTACTTTGACGAATGCTAAATTTTACATTGATAATCATTATGTTATTAAATTTAAATAAAAGTTTTCAATTTGTCAAAGTAAAAGAAATTTTAATCTCATTCCTAAACTGAGAGAATGTACCCTCGGAGTATAAAATCAAAAATTTTGAAGACTACGTAGTATATTTCAGATAATATTGGACCTGAGAGTTCTTACCAAAAAAATCGATGGTACCCCTGAGTATATTTCAAATAATTTGGTACTTGGAAGTTATTATCAGAAAATCAAGTCCAAAAGCAATTTTTTGATTTTATTTTTGCTTTTTCGCTTGAGATGACAAAAAAGGACGTTTTAGACCAAGGAATAATTAATAATCCTTTTTTACTGCAAATCTTTTGCAACCAAACATGCATTAGTGGCTTTGTTTTTCCAGTTTAAAGTTTAAACCTGGTTTTCACGCCTTAATCTTTTTTTTTCTTTTGACTTTACACGGACTTTAAAAGAAAATAAATTTATGCGAGAGAGAATTAATGTGAACTATAGTATTCCTTATTTAAAAGGAAATGAAAAAAAATTAATTAGGAACGTTAAAAAAAAGTAAGGGTCCGTTTGGTACACGGAATTGATGGAATTGGAATTGAATTGAAACTAAAATTCCATGCGATTCAATTCCATAGAATTGAATTCACCAGTTTCAATTCATTTTTCGCACTACCAATTCCAAATCCACACAATTTTTGTGCTACCAAACACGAGAATTGGAATTGAAGTCTTCAATTCCAATTCCATAGTTTGAATTCCGTGTACCAAACGGAGCCTAAATGAAAAGATATAAAAGATGTGGAATTGTGCATTTAAAATGGGTACTGATAATTCTAATGTTTTTTAAATAATGAAAATTTTATTTGAGACGGGAATAGTAAAAGTATTAATAATTTTATTGAACATGCAAAAGAAGTCCAAACACCTTTTTTTCCTAATTGGGCCTGAAAAGTATTGTTGGGCTCGTATGGATTATGGAAGAAAATTATAGTCAATTTAATCCAATCTTCTCAAGCCTTTACTGTAAGTACACAGCCCACGAGACTGTTTGCCCCAATAAATGAGTCCAATGTCCAGATGTACATAAGTCGAGCGGGCCAGGCCTGGTTGTTCTGCATTTAGTTCTTTTTTAGTTCGAGCATTTTAATTGGGCTTGGACAAAAAAACTTCAAGTCCAAGCCTTTTTTAGTTCACGGACTTTCTATTTCATTAATAATCAAAAAGAAATATTTGCACTAAATAGTACTAAAACTTAAGTCATTTCTTTAAATAGCACTTAAATTGTTTTATTTTCTAAATAACACTTAATAATGTCCATAATGTCCTGTGATGGCAAATATTTACTTGAATGATGACTAATGCATAATGACTAAAAGTGCTACATTGGGAAGAAAAACACATGTGGTGCTATTTAGGAAAAGTCATTATGTTTTATTTAAGTAAATTCCTCTAATCAAAAACTTTCATGTTTGATTATGAGAATATTCCGGGACAAAGAGAACATAAAGCTTTTTTCGAGAAATTTGACGAGCCACATGTTCATTTAAAAAAAGAAAATAAACTCACTAAGGTGTTGTTTGAGAATTGGCTTAAATGGTGAAGAAATATCACGAGCCTTGTCTCTCTGAGGTGTTCTAAAAAAAAGAGCATAAAGCCTTGTTTGAGAACAACGTTTTTTATTATGTCTGTGTTTTGAATAAAATTTTAGTAATGATGTAGATTAAGTTTGAAAACGCTAATGCTAAAGACTACTGTTAGATATTATTTTCAATTTTAAAATATTAATGTTAATCTCTAACGCTGATGCGAGAGAAGGCTTAAGAGGACGAGTACATGATTCTTATGGTAGATGAAGTAAGACTTTTCCATTAATGGATTGCATGAGAAATTTAAAAACCACATCCTATAAAATAAGGATAAATAGTGCTCCAAATTTCGAGAGACAGGTGCTATTTATTCAACGTGACCTCAAATTAGTTTTCTTTATACTAAAAAGGATAGAATACATTTGTTGAGAAAAAGTACATTACATGGATTTAAAATGGAAAGAATTACTTGACACAACTTTACATATTACAAAAAAATAAAAACTCCCTAGTTAGGAATAAAAAGGAAGATAAGAGTACAAACTCTCATTGCTACACTACAATACTTACCATATTGTCACACTATCATCGGTCGCCGCCGAGCACCAGAATGACACCACGAATCACCGAAGGTTGGCTGATCACACCATAATATTACACTGTTTTTAGTTTTCCATCACAGTGCCAATGCGTACTCTTACACCACACTGTCATTATACCTCTATTTTGATTTTAAAATAATTAACTACCAAATTTGATAATATTTAAATGGGAAAATAAAAAATGTCACAATTATTTATTAATTGATATATTGATTGAAGTCTTTCAGCAAGAGGTATGCATCATCATCTTCACAAATTCATCAAAGTTTACTTGGCCATCACCGTCCAGATCAGCTTCTTGTATCATTTCTTCAACATCTTCCTCACTCAGTTTCTCCCCTAGATTTATCATCACGTTCCTCAACTGCACAAATACGTGATTCAGAATAATATATTATTATTATTATTATTATTATTATTATTATTATTATTATTTTCAAATTTACAACCAATTGGGGTGTTGGGTTGTCCCCCAAGTCTCCAAACAGGGGAGTTTGACTGCAATGAACAGCAATATTGACTTTGTTTGACAATTAAAAGTGAACTATTTAGCTAGTGATATTAGCTTTTTAAATCGAACAAATATAAGAAAAAGGATATGATGATCTTAGAACTGACTCGACGGTCATTTGAGACAAAGAAATAGTGATATCGAAGAAAAAATGTACTGTCTCTGTGCCATGAAACCTTTCTCCTTTCTTTTTCTATCCGTCCCACAAAACACTTCTCATTTCTATTAAAAAGTCACTTTTACCCTTTACTTTTTCATACCCTAACCATCACATTATATCTTTTTACTAATAATCTATCCATCAAAGGACATTTTTGGAAATTCAATACCAAAATACACTCCCCTTAAATCCCTCCTAAAAAGCAAAAGTTTCATGTTTCATAGGACGGAAGGAGTAGTAATTTGGGAGAATGTATTGAAAATTTTCTTCCATTTATTACTTGACAAAAAATACTTGTAATTGTTGAGCTTACTTCAGTGGAAGAGATATAACCATTTTGGTCCTTATCAAAAACCTTGAAAGCTTCTTTAAGCTCCTCCTCTGCGTCTGTTTCCTGTTTGGCCATTGAAGAAACAACACATAATAAAAAAATTATATTTAAGAGCTCAATAATAAAAACAACATATTCTATGTGTGCATTTTCATAGTATGAAAACGCACTCATCGAATATGTCATTTTATTGTTACTGGCTGTAAGTTAGAATTCTTTATTGAATTGATTTCTTAAATAGAATTAAAAAACTACGTAGTAAAATTTTATGCGCTCTTGAGTTGAATTGATACCTTGATTTTCTTCGCCATGAGGTTCAAGAACTCGGGGAACTTGATGGTGCCATTGCCATCGGCATCCACCTCGTTGATCATCTCCTGCAGTTCCTCTTCCGATGGGTTCTGGTGATCCGACGATGATTGGATCACCGCTGCCAACTCCTCTAGCGTAATGCAACCTGCATGCGTACCAATCATTAATGCAGACAATTACACAGAGTTTTTAAACCTTTTAAATAATCGATTGAATTCAATTTTTTAATATAGTTCAGTCTTACTGTCTTATAACAAACAAACAAAGATACATATCAAATCTCCTTTAAGGAGTGAATATATGAAATGGAGATTATAAGTACCATCGCCGTCTTTGTCGAAGAGATTGAAGGCTTCCTGGAACTCCGCAATTTGGTCTTTCTTTATTCTTAGTACCTCGGACGAAGACGACGGCGACGACATGTTAAGGTTGCCGGGCCGGCCTTTTTTGTTTTTCTAAATTTTATTTTATTTGCTCAATTCTTGGGGGTGTGTGTGGCTTTATATAGAGGAATTGATAATAATGAGAACCGGACCGGAAGAAAAAAGTCGAGCTCAGGCCGAGTCGGGGAACGAGTTAACCTGAAGAAATACCGAGTAAAATTTTTCTTTCTTTGGATAGATAATTCGTACTCCCTATCTCCCCATCCCTTCAAATGTCTTACACGTGTTTTTTTTTCAACCGAAGGATTGCTTTTTTTTTTCTGCAATTTTTTTTGAAATGTTTTTTTTTGCCTACTGCAATTTGCGAATTAGGTTTTATTTTATTTATGTATTTATATTTTTTTATAGTTCAATGCAGTTTTTATTTAAAACTATAATATACTCCCTCCGTCCCTGAAAACATTTCTCCTTTCTTTTTTCATCCGTCCCAAAAAATACTTCTCATCTTTATTAAAAAGTCATTTTTATCCATAATTTTTTTGTACCATACCTATCACATCATACTTTTTTACTAATAATTTATCCATCAAATCATACTTTTACCCATCACATCAAAGAACATTTTTGGAAATTCAATACCAAAATGCACTCCTCTTAAATCCCTCTTCAAAATCAAAACTCTCATGTTTTTTGGGACGGAAGTAAAAAATATAGGGAAAAGAAATGTATTATGATTTGAGTTTGGTGTGATGAATTATAGATAAATTAGAGTATTTTAAGTTTGAGTACGTGTGATGTTATGATTGGAGATCGTCTTACACATCCATAGTGGTAAAATGTTCAAGAGTGAGCCCTACATAAAGAGGTAATTTTTTTGTAGTTTTTATTTTGATATTTAATCTATGTTTTAATTCTATTTTGGGTCATTTGTTACTCCCTCTGTCCCAAAAGGTCTTTCCTATTTACTATTACGGTCTCTCGATAACTCTTACTTGTTTGCGTGTTTTCATTGATCATTTGATAAAATAAAATATTCTTGTCACCTCTTATTTTGTAGAGTTTTCGATGTAGTTTTTAAATATAATTTTCTTATGTGTTATTTCTTTACCAATTTGTAAATAAAATGATTTTAAAAATCACGAGATTTTACACGTTAATCAAAGTAAGAAATTCTTTTTGGGAGCGAGGGAGTATTTGATAATAATACTCCGTATTAAATATGTATATATAGAAAATACATAGAAAATTCCAACCAAAGTAAAATAAGAAACTATGCTAAGAATAGAATAAGAAATGTAAATACTAATTGTTGGTCGTTCTCTGTTTCTCTATTGTTTTTTGTGCTTTCGAGCTCTAGAAGAAACACAGATAAATAATATTTTTTTCCAGTTCTTCAATCAGACACAATTTTTTTAAGATAGATATATGGATAAGGGACAACGACGGCTAAACATACTCATGTTTTTTGGAGAGAGAGAGTAAGGGATAGCGATGACATGATTAATGATGGTAGACCGTCAATGATGAAGACTGTAATGGCACACACTTGAAAAAAAGGAGTCTTGATTTTTGAAAAAAAGACCTTGTAGGCTTGTAGCCCTGATACAATGATACAATTTAATAATAATAATTCATCTTATTAAATATTAAAAATTACTTTAGTATAAATAAAAAATACATGAAGAGCAAAGTTAAATTAAGAATTATAATAACAATAGAATAAATTAAGTAAATAAAAATAATAAAGTACAGTAAATAAGAATAATATTCTATTTTCTAATATTTCCTCCGTGTCTAAATGATTTACACTTTATGCAAAACGAATTAAAATCTCAAATTTTTTCAATTCATTTTATTAAAAGATTGGTATGTAAATTTAAAAAAAAACTTGTTTATTTAAAAAGTACATCATAAGTTTTACAAAACAAGAAGTGACAAGAGTACTTTATTTCATCAAATAATCAATGAAAACACACAAGTAAACAACAAAAATTTCTACAATTTTTAAATAGTAAAGTGTATAAATCATTTAGGAATGGAGAGAGTATATATATCAAAAATATTTAACTCACAAAAGAAAAATTGGAGTATGTTGGGGTCTTGGGAGGGAGAGCAAGTTAAAAAAGGTTGACTTGGTCCTACTGTCATCCAACAGCTACACACATATGTAACCCAACCACACGCTATAACACGGTTTCTTCTTCCCGGCCCTTCCGATCCCCTTGTCATTAGGGGTGAGCAAATTAACCGGGCCGACCGTGAAACTGAAAACCGAAAACCGAAATAATCGGAAGTTCGGTTTCGGTTTCGGTTTTCATGTAAAAGTTATTTTCGGTTTTTCGGTCGGTTTTCGGTTTTTTTTTAAGAAAAACCAAACCGATCGAATAATCGATGATTTTATTTTAATTTATTTTTTATTTTTAAAAATAAGAAAATATTTGATTAACATACATGCTTTCTTTTTACTCTTTCATGGAAAACTATAATGTTTCACTTTTAAAAAATTTATTTGTTAATGTTTTGAATATATTAATAAGAAAAGTGCAATTTTTATATGAAATGGATAGTGTATATTCAAATAAAAATTAATCCACCTTACTAAATCAATGACAATAGAAAAGTCTTAATCTAAACTAATTTAATACATATCAATCTACCTTGCCGAATTAGTTTCTTGGATTTATATTAAAAAATCAAAATAAAAGTAATTAGAATTTAGTTTTTAGGTCGGTTTTTTGATGTATGAGCGGTTTTCAGTTTCGATTCGGTCGGTTATAATTTATAGTCGGTTCGGTCGGTTTTCAACCATGTTAAAAAAGTCGTTTTTTTCGGTTTCAAACCGAAACCGACCGTTGCTCATCCCTACTTGTCATGCATTTATATCTAATTATATATTGCTTTGCTGCAAAAAATGCACACAATTTTCATGACGATGACACACGACTGTAATTCTGGAGAAGAAAATTATAATTTCTTCTTCCGTCTCAAATTATCGTCTCACTTCGAAAATAAGAAAGTGATAATTTTACTAACTAAATGATCAGCGAAAACATGCAAAAAGTCAATAATTATCGAGAAGTCATAATAGTAACACTACGTCTACAATTCTGCGACAAAGGAAGTATCTGTTGGGTTTATAGAGCACTCGATGAAATACGATATTATAAAACATATAAGCGTAATTTCAATTGGAAACATGTGTTCCAGAACACTCTATTGCGAATGATGGTAGAAGAACTAAAGAAGACGAGTCGTCAAAGATTGTTCATATGTTGGCAATTAGTAGGCCTTGTTGGGAACAACGTTTAATATTTTTGATAAAGTTTTAATGGTATAGATTTCTAAAAATACTAACGCTAAAGGTTATCGTTATATAATTTTTTCAAAACGCTAACGTTAATCTTCTCTGTGTCTACTAAAAGTGCAAGGCCCACTCCAGAGATCAGAGAGTCCAAATATTATATGACCATATGAAAATACTCCGTATAAAGCATTGCATTCCATTCAGAAGCCCATGTCTCTTGGGGTCAGTGTTGAAATTAAGAACCCCAAATGTCCAAACCTGCTTGGGAATGAATGGGCTTCCATTGTGTTCTTGAGTTGACAAGGCAAATGTGTAGAGGCCCATTTAAACATTATGGACTTTCCTATTGAATTAGAGAAATTTATTGATGTTATTTTTCGGTGACGGTATTATCCTAGAGTAATGACTAATGATTCCATACAAGTATTAAAATAATTAAAATGAAAAGGTATAGAAAAGAAAATTACTACTTCCTCCGTCCTATATCTTTCTTCTCGGTTCGTAAAACGAAGAAAAATCCCAAATTTTTTCAATCTATTTTATTTAAATATTGGTATAGAAATAAAAAATAAAATATACATATTTAAAAACTACATCAAAAGTTCAACAAAACAATTGGTGACAAGAATATTTTATTTTATCATATAGGCCATGAAAAAACACAAATAAATATAAATTCCCGTGAAGTTAGAATAGTGCTCTGAAAGAAAGTTTTAGGACGGAGGGAGTATATCATAAATTTGTTTAATCATTATATTTTTAATACTTCGATTTCAAATTATATTCTTTTGATTTTCAAATGATCTAGAGACTTTAAACAATTTCTTCTTTTAAATATTACTAGATTTATCTACATACATTTAGATGTATGAAAATAAAGGCTTGATGTGATCTTGAGTAATTTTATTTAAAAATAATTTACAAATAAAATTTTTATTCAAAATGCACCCACTAATTAAAAACGTTGTTCCCAAAATAAATTAAAGCTGACTTTATTTCTTTCTATATCCCCATGAGGTTTGTTACGTGCCAAAAAATTGACCCCTATACCAAAAAAAACTTATTTTATTAAACACAAATGCACCAATGACATTTGTGTCAATAGATGACAACACAATGGTTTCGTTGACACTAGCATCTAGTGTCAACAGATGACATTTGCTCATTTGGAGTTCCTCCGAAGTCCAAAATGAAAAGAATGATGATTCGTATCCCTCTAATCCCTCCCTAAATCCGCTATAACACCCTAATCTTAGTCCGACCCCAGCACCCCAAGCCTAAACCCATCGTCTTACCCCTTACAAACGTGTGACTATTATTGCAGGGGTTAGGTTGGGATTGGGATGCAGGGGTCTGGGTGAGATTGGGGTTCGGTTGGAGATGTATGGGGAGTTAAGAGTGCCGGGTAGAGAGCTTCAGAGAAATCCCAAATTAGCGAGTGTCATTCATTGGTACTGAATACTACTGTCAACCCTTAACCGAACCTTGGTGATATTTATATGTTATTACTAGTTAGTTTATACGAGTACTAACTCAACAAAATGAGTCCATTAGCACATGCATAGTGTGGACACTTGGACTCCATGCAAACAATTAAATCCATGAAAAACGAATAAGAAAAATATAGAGTCTAAATGTAAAGTCATCAACACTTCTAAATGTCATTTATATAGACAGAAGCTTTCACGTCTTAAGAAGAAAAAATTTAGCCTCTGGTGGTTTATTAGAATATAATAAGCATTTTCTGGGTCACAATCACAATCTTTGAATTTTTGGTTGAGTTGGTTCCTTGACATGGTCTTAAGAATGGTTCGGGTGGGGATTCTTCTGAAGTCATGTAGTCGCTTTGAAGATTCGATCAATTCATTCCA